GCTACAGAATCCTGCATGCAGGACACAATGAAGTTAAGCACTTTGCACATCTAAACCAAGTTATGGTCCCTGCTCTGAAGAGATCAAAGAGCAGACATATGGCTGCAGACAACAGGAAAAACCACAAGAGGATACTGGCCAGCCTGGTCAGGGTGTTTAGCTAACTGATGCAAGGAGACTCTGGAGCCAACAGTGCCATAAGTAGAAAAATCACACCCCAAAATGTGCCTTACTGTCACTGGGAGGTAAGAATGAAAGGTGTCTGCGGCTGTGCTGCTCCCATTCACACAGATTACAGTAGATGGTTTGTAGAGGCTTCACACATTACCGTAAGCATGAAGAGATGGAGACCTTTTAGAGCAAGAAGAGGTTAACTGCAAAGGAATCAGCATCTTCCCAGGAAAGAGAAGTTTCCTTCTGTCTATCCTGTGGAACTGTGGCAGCAAACAGAAAGAGAGGGCTGCTGGATAAAATAGGATTCTGCTATCATGCGGAACAGAAGTACAAGTTGGACTACTCAGCAAGTTACTCGCTTTGTATCAAGAAGGACAGGCATAGCCAACATCCCTATAGTCAGGAATGGCTAAATTACTAGTCGTGTTTCCAAAGGAACCCTTAGAACTCAAGATCAATATGGATTATTTTAGATCCCCCCCTTCACTCATCGCTACTGAAATAGTTTTCGGATGCTGCTCATCTTCAAGCTGTCGCTCAAGTTCTGCCTAATTTTTGCTATGACTGGCAGTTATCTGACACGGTGATGGTTTGGGCGAGAGGATGCAAAGGTGGATATGGTGGAATGAATGGAAAAATAGGACAAAGGAGATCAGGATTTATTTTTAGTTATTATATTCTGAAGCAGGGATGAACGTTCCAAATGAAACAGAAAATTGGTACTAAATACCTATTTGGCCAGAAAAGTTTCTCAGTTTCCTAACAAACATTTCCTGGCTTGTAAAATGCTTCAGTCTCCAGAAAACAGAATTGCAAGAAGAAATGTGAGAACAGTAAAAATTCCTTTATCTAATTTTATTTACTCTTTCTGGGGCTCTATTCTATTTAAATGTAAGAGGAGGAGGAGGAAGAGGAGGCTGAAAAGGCAATTATCTTTCAAGTGAGGGGGGAAAAACAGTAAAATATGACATTCAGTTATAATAGTATTGGATTTGCTGTAGCAAAAGGAAAACCAAACCAGGCAAACCCTCAGGTCAGGTCCTGCAGTGACCAATGTGCTTTTAGGGCCAGACCAACAGAAACAAGCTCTGCTGCATGCTAGGGATTGTGTAATGCAGAGGAAAAACTGTGCAAGGATGAAGAAGTGCTCCCTGCCCCCTGCAGCGATCAGCTTACTCCTTGAAGCATGAGATTGGATTACCTTCATCTCAGCGGGCACAGCCACGAGTATCTCTGCGTGCCTACGACTGCCCAGCACGTTCTCTCTGATAAAGGGACATAATAACAGTATTTCTAGAGCACTTCTGTCCTGCAACCTGGGCAATAACTGCAGAGAGAAATCTGTAGCAAGAACGTGCAAGCAGCATTAAAGGTGTTACAATCCCTTCCCATGTTAGATGATCTCTTTTGAGGAAAAAACTCCTGTACATTTATCAAGTCTAACAAAACCCTGGGACAATTCAATCCCCCACGACGGAAAAGCAACAAAACCCAGTGAAGAAGCTGTTTATCTGACAGAAGCTTTAGGACAATCCACACGTATGACATCTGGCATGGACCCTTGTGGTGTGTCATTAAGCTCGAGCGCAGATTTTTGCAGAAGCCCCTAACCACCACCCATCAAAGCAATCAAATAAGAATGCTGACAGTTAAACATCTGTGTCCTGCTCGACAACATGCAGAAAAACACTTCAAGTCTGACATGCCTTAACTACAGAATAACTTCAGGCATGCAAGCATACTGGCTTATGAGCATCTTTAGACGACTGCTGTGTTAGTAGCACTGTCTTCCCTCAGCGCACGCACCACTGATTTATTGTTCCTCTGTCAGCTACAAGACTCTTCAGCACCTTCAACACTAAACTATTTCAGTTGAGCCTGTATGGAAATAAGGCAACAACAACGCTGGGAAGCTGTACCAGGGGTACTGTTACACGGGCAATTCCTATCCCCCCGAGTGTACATGTCACAGACTGAAACTTTAGGGAGGAAGAGGGAAGATGGAGGCTACGTTAGCTTTGAAATGCTTTGCTGAAGAAGAGAAGAATTTCCAAGACAACAGCTTGGTTCATCCAAGATGAACATCTTGGAACCAAAGTCAAAGAATTGAGAAGTCCAATACCTGGATTTGAGGAAATACAAAACCAGAAGAGGGGGCCTTGAACACTTTCTTGTGAGCTCTTCCTGGGCTGAACGTGTGCTTGAAAGGACCAAAAAGACACAGCAAAATGTCTTCTTGTTGCCTGAAGGTATTTAATACAGTGGAGCAAGGGGAATGTAATCAGCATTAAAGTGCTCCTCATAAATAATGGACAGTCTAGCAGCTTTTATCTACTCTGCACTTTAAGAAAGTTTCTACTGCTGAATATTTCATGAGCAAAAGGTCATTTATTGTGGTTTTTAAATTATACAGTTTAGAAACTGGTAAGAGAAAAGGTCCAAGTTCCAGTGCAAAAAAGTGATGAGTTTTGAACGTCCAAAGAAACCCTGGCAGCCTAAACACATCCTGAAACCTCTCACACACAGAGTACCGGGGACACGTCTGCCCTGAACTGTAACTACTCAGTTTTAAGGTGTCCAGTCCTATTCAGAAATACACTATTTATTTTCAAGTGAAGAAGAAACCTGATCGTGCATTTCCCAGAGGTGTCACTTCTGGTTTGCACTCCTCGCCAGGCTGAACTGCTGATCACAGCTGGGCTCAGATGCGCTTCTGCCACAGCCATTTTCAGGAAGCCCCTTTTCCATACGCTATTTTAAAGGTGTATTTTAGAACAGCCTTTTCAAATGACCATTAGAGCTCCACATAACAAAGCCATTAAGGAAACACCCTGGCAAACAGGCGAACCATCAAGATGAGTTAGAGGCAACCTTAGCTCTGTCCCCTGTGAATGCAAGAACACAATGCAACCCTGCTGCCCCATCCAGAGGCAGATGTTCTGTGGGTGTAGATTAGCATCACGTTACAGAAGTCAGTTGTGCTACGGCTGCTTTCCATCGAGAGAACCACCAGTGCACTTCTCCTCAGCATCAGATGTCTGTATGGTGTCACACACCTATGGAAGGACACCAGTGGAGTGGTGCAAAGCAGCGCAGCAGGCATCCCAGGGACTTGCAGCTTCACTAACACCAAGTCAAGTGCCTCCAGAACATTACCAGGTCACAGTCCTTAGCCAGAGATATTCCTTGGGGAAACATTCAGTTTCCTTTCTAACCCCACACTTCCAAACCCTACGGCCACCCTTCACAGAACAAGACTTCAGCAACAAAAAAACAAGCCTGAACAAAAAAATCCTCACTCTAAACCCCCAAACAAGTGAAAAAAAAAATGAGTATTTATTACGTTTCTAAAACTAACACAGCAAAAATAGCTTTCATATTTTCTTCACATGGTAACCTAGCCCCCCCGCCCCAAGTCCTCTTATTGTATTCACAGTCCTCAATTTAAAAGACCACGTAATAAAGCCATGACAGGACCTATCTGCAGAAGTGAAAAGCAATCAGAACAAACAGCACCATCGATGGCAAACCATCTCCATACTAACAGACCCCTGCATACGGACAACAAACATGCCTGTGGCAAAAAAGGGGTTTATTTATTGACTGACTTCCTATGACACAGCAAAGAAGATGAATGGGATGCCTGGATAACCTCTAGATCAATGACCTTCATGAGCAGCCAACTGCAGTTCGAGTCCCATGGAGCTATGGGACATGCACAGGAACACCACCTACTTTGGATCTCAGGTATTTCCCTGTGCATTTGTAAAAACAAAACCGATCTTTAGCACTTCATTCAAGTGGGTTCACAGCTTTGTTGAGGCTGTGTGCTCCTCCTACAATTACCAGCCAAAAAACTCAGACTTCAGACACTGCATTTGAAAGCTTCAGTTGTTTTAACAGCCAAACTATGCTTTTAAAACAGAGCTTTTCATGTCTGTTGCAGAGCTAGTAGGGACAAGAATCAGCGACACCTATAGGCTTTCTTGCTGCCTTCTGCATTGCTCTTCTCTCATTACATTCTATGGACTTGGATGTAAATGTGGAAGAAAAATCTTTATTAGGGAAAAATTCAATAGGAAGGAAATGTCTCCAAAAGAAACAAAGCATCTCAGTTGTGCCCCCTGCTTGTGCAACAAGAAAACCTAGTGCTTGCCAAAGCAGACTGCAGCTGGATCCAAAACACTGTTGATGGGTAAGTGAAGTTTATATACAGATACTGACAGTTAAACACCGACACTCCAGACTAATGAAGATACAGACATCCCTTTCTGTTGGACAGTACCTAACAATTTGTCTAGGGACTATAATCGAAGCCAAAGACAGCTTGCTTACTGTTTTAAAATACAGTATTTCATAGCACGCTGTTAAAGTGTCATCTGGTATTTAGATAGAGCATTAGATATCTAAGACAAAACAGGATGTGTCAGTTTAGATGAGCAATCCCACAAGGAATGACTATGATACTCATATAAAAACAACCTATGGATAAGCCCCTGGAATAGTAAGACAATAAAGTCTCCTACACCAGATCAACCAATGGGAAATGAGCTGACCCATCTAGAAATGATGCAGCTACCCTGTTTCTTATAGAAGAGACTCCAGGACTGGGTGACCATTTCCCCTACTCCATCCTCATCCCTGGGATGCTCACAAAGCAGTAAAAGACACAGCAAAACTGACACGGTCATTTTGAGTGCCAGTGTTCAGCACCTGACCACACTGAGAACCGATCCTCAGGAGAAAATCCATGTGCTGAAATAAACTGTGGGCATCACTGCACTCACCCCGTGGCTCTCAGAGGTCAAACAAACAGGGCAACTTACGTAGCTCTCCTACTTTCAGTATTTCACACAGCATCTTTGTCAGCTCAATGCTACTTCGGCCAAATGGGCACTCATGCTTGTCCTCTCGACTGCTGTTCTCCAGGACGATCTGAAGGAGGAAGCAAAATAGAAGATCAGTTTGAAGAACCCACGTGCTGAAGCACTGTCCTCCACATCCCACATGTGCAAGGTACACCAGGCCGAATTTAGGAACCTGTAATTGGAGGCTCTATCTTCAGAAACCAGATTAATGACCTCTGTCTGAGGCAGCCAGCAACACAGAAGCAGTGCTGCTCCATGGCCAGCTAGGAAGCTTTGCCATTCCTATGGAACGCTGCTGTTCTGCATCACCCCTGGCTTGGAGGAACTGCAGAAGAAGTCAAAGAGAAAGAAGGAGTTTCATTTCAAATTTGCCTTTTAAAGGCAATGAGGTATAATGATGCAGAGACATGAACGAACCTAGAAGGATATATAAAAAAACCTCAAAAAACATATCGGGATTCAGGCTCCAAAAAAGATCCAAGCGTCAAAACTCAAAAGGAAGCCCACAACAGAAGAGAACGTGCACATCTTCTCTATTATGGAAGAAACTTGTGCTGGTGTGCAGAACATTTCAGGAAACTATCACTCTTGCATCAAGCCCATGAATGCTGCAAAAGCAACTCAAGCAGAGCCTTTGTATTCTCTGCTGAGTGACACTGCAAAGTAAATGGGAGAAAAGAATCCCTTGCACATCCGCACACCCGATGAGTCCTGCTGTATCACACACAGCTGGATAACATCTTCCCCAGCACCACAAACCAAGAAGAGATTTCACTGTAGATGGAAAACTGAGTGGCAAACCCCATCCTAACCAGCTGCTGCCCAGCCTGGGCAGGAGGGACAGAGGAAGAAAAGGGATTTCAAAGGTAAGAGATTTTGCCAGCACCAGAGAACCTCAGAAGCTTTCTAAACCTTCCTGCACAAACAGATGTTCAGACACTGCTCTCTGCTTTCCTTCTGTCTCCCTAGCTCCCATCCTCACCACGTCCTTTTGCTGGTTGTGGGTTTGGGCTGGTTGGCTGGTTTAAATGGCTCAATTCTGGCAGCCATTTAAAGCAAAGGCAAAGACAGCTTTGCAAGAGGCTCCACGGCTGGACATCTTCACCCAAACCCAGGGGGAGAGCTGGAAGAGAAAACTGATGCCACACTGGATGCCAGCAAAACCCTTCTCTCCCTCCTCTCTCCCCAGGTCCTTGCTGTGACTGTTTCGTGTTCTCTTACACAAGTTAAATCCTTCACACAGCATGCCAAAGCCTCTTCACCAAGCATCTCTTTAACTCCTGCTGTACAAGGGGCAGCCTCCAGCCGATACCCTGCTCCCAACACATCACTCAGTGATTACAGAACCATGGAATGGTTTGGGTTGGAAGGGACCTTAACGCTCCTCCAGCTCCAACCCCTGCCACGGGCAGGGACCCCTTCCACTGGAGCAGCTTGCTCCAAGCCCCTGTGTCCAACCTGCCCTTGAGCACTGCCAGGGACGGGGTATGTAAATGGCTGGCCACTGTCTGTGTTACAAGAGCGGGCAATCACTTCATTCTGCTTTCCATTGGTGGTGTTTTTAAATCACCTTCAGACTTCCCACCGAAATCTAGAAAACCCTCAGGGCTATAACACATATTTGAGCTCTGTGACTTCCTCCTGGCCTTTCCCAACAGGGCAGCATCAGAACCGTGGTCACCGCTTTCCCAAGAGGAGCTGCTTTTCCTTCTCAATGTTTTAGGTTACATTACATATAATTGTTCTGTATCATCCCTGGATAACAGCTGCACCAAAACCACCCCTGCAGTTTCTGTACCACGCTGCTGCAACCACTGCTCAAGGAACATGTGAATATGATTTTGCATTCCGCATGAATCATCCTGCTTCGGACCGTGCTACACTTCCATACCCCAATGCAGGAGCAGCCCGAGCCCAGTGTGAAGCTGCGTCTCAACACCTCCCTGAGATTGCTTCTCCTGTTTTATGATTATTGTGGCTTATCTCCCACGCAATAAAACATAAAACCTGCCTATTGGAGCAGGGGGCTTTGACACAGATTTACATACAGCGGAGAAACACGGGTAATAAAATCAATGGAGAGGCAAAATGAAAGGGTAAGGCAAGCAGGCGGATCAGCATCCCCGCTCGCTTCTGGCAAATGCATTTTGTTGAGTTTCACATTAACCCGAGATATTAACATTTCATGAGCACATAAATATTTAATGGTGACACCCTATATGCATATAATGCCAGCCAGGATTACAGCAATCAATAAGAATGCCAGAGAAACAGTTAAGGCACTGTGTATTGCTATACAGCAAATTAAATGGCAATTTGAGTAATCAATATGTAAAGCAGCTTTGAAACGATCCTCAGGCCCGCTGTGCAGGCTCCATCTTTCAGTGTTTGCTGTGAGAAGCAAGGCAGAGCTGCCACGTCACCCTCCTCTAAGAAAGGAAGATGGAAGGCCCTTTACTCCATCGAAACATCTGCAGGCGATTTGGGCAGATAGGGATCTTGAGAACGGAACAGCGACGGTAAAAAGGGAAAGAGCAAGGGGAAAAAAGGGTTCTTATAAATACCCAAAGAGAAATGATTCCTGGTCTCGGCAACAGATTTCAGATTTACAACATTCATTATTGTATCTCTGATCTCTTTTCACGACTTCGCGACTCATATCCTGTGCCAAAGTCAAGTGCTATAAATACAGCTGCTAATGGCACGATTTTAATGTTATTTCCTCTATCACTCTGGTTATGAAGGAGAAATAAGCAGGGAATGGACATGTTTACTTCATAAACTGCTGAAAACAATAGCAGGGAAAGAAACATAGCACAGCTCTGGACTGACAACGCTTCCGTATGCCTCCAGAGCACACAGCTGACTGGATCCACGTTTCCATCACAACAGTGCTTTCACCAAGGAAAGGAAAGGACTGAGGAAGTCACGAAGCCCACACACAACCTTCCTTCAAACGGAGGTCTATCATTAATGCTCATGAAGTGGCTGCACCCTATTATCTTCCTCCGCCTCCCCCTCACAAATCCACAGTGAGCTGCACATCCACCAGACATTTCATAGGCGGCAGGTTAAATTTGCCTGGGGGAACCAAACACTTAAAGGCAGACATTGCAGGAGAGCCCTCGGCTCCACAGAATCAGAATCATTGAGGTTGGAAAACACCTTTAAGATCCTAAAATTCCAAGCGTTAACGCAGCACTGCCAAGGCCACCACCAACCCATGTCATTAAGTGCCGCATCCAGAGGTCTTCTTGAATGCTTGCAGGGCCGGTGACTGCAGCCCTGCCCTGGGCAGCCTGTTCCAATGCCTGAGCACCCTCTGGGGCAGGAATTGTTCCTCAGCTCCATCTAACCCTGCCCTGGTGCAGCTTGAGGCCGCTTCCTCTTGTCCCATCCCTTGTTCCTTGGGAGCAGAGCCCAGCCCCTCCTGGCCCCATCCTCCTGTCAGGCAGCTGTAGGCAGTGGTCAGGTCCCCCCTGAGCCTTCTCTTCTCCAGACTGAGCCCCCCAGGTCCCTCAGCCCTTCCCCATCACACTTGGGCTCCAGGCCCTGCACCAGCCCCGCTCCAGCCCCTCAATGTCTCTCTTGCAGTGAGGGGCCCAGAGCTGAACACAGGATTCGAGGTGCAGCCTCACCAGTGCCCAGTGCAGGGGCACAATCCCTGCCTGACCCTGCTGCTGCACAGGTGCTGGTACAGGCTGGGATGCTGATGACTTCTTGGCTATGTGGGCACAGTGCTGGCTCATGTTCCATCTTCTTCAGTCCTACCTCAACCCTGGTCTGCCTGGCTGCCCTTTGCTTTGCTATTAGAAATGTGCTGCTGGTTTTCCCTTGCTTTAGTCCTGCAAAGCTGCAGAATTGGGAATGTCCAACATGAAACACAGCTTCTAGTATGCTAGATGTTACACAGACAAAACCCAAACCCAGCTCACGGTACAACAGTACTAAATGCTGCAGACCCTCCTCTCTTCCTCTTGATCAATACTGTCCATGACCATGAGGCAAAGCAGGAACAACCATGATGTGTAACTCCCAACAATGTGAGGGGAAAAGGGAGGAAAACAGAGAAAACGAGTGAGAGCAGCACAGAATGAGAACAAACGTGGTACCACAAGAAGAATGAGACTGAACTGACCAGCAGCAGAGGAGAAAGGAAAAGATTTAAAAATGTTGTTAAAAATGCAAGGAGGTGAAGTATTTAGGAAATCAGCGTTATCCATTTTCTTGACATCTCCACAAATGGAACTCCGTAGCCTATTAAGGCATGGGAATTGGACAGCAGTTGCAGCAGAACGCAGCTCTGCACAGTCTGCACTGGTTTCCAGTTACCCGCTATACGTACGCCTCCTCTCTTACAAATTCCTGCTGCAAACTGAGGAGAAACGTTCCCCAATCACCAAGCAAAACCAAAGAGTGGCCAGAAAGAGAAATAAAGGCTTCATCGTGTTTCCCAAGGCAAGCATTTCAGGCAGCATTGGCAACAGTTGTATTTCTCCTGGGATTGAGCCAGGCTGAGGCACCCCAAAGTCAAAAGCCTTTTCAAGAAGGAGAAGGCAGCCCTCCAACATCCAATTGTCCAACAATGCTTTTAGAGAGCTACAGGGAAGAACATTCCTCCTTAGAAGAGATGCTGCTTTTAACAGCAAGCTCTTTTGTACTTCCCTCCCTTGTGTTATGATCAGTGGTGCTCAGCATCACTCAAAGAATGCTCACCTGCCTTTACAAGATACCTACCAAAGCCACGGGCAATGACATTAATTCAAGTGTCACGCCAACATCACAGATGCTTAATTTTCCACATTTGACTACCATGGGCTTAAAAATCTGCATCAGCTTCAGTATTTATACCTGTTCTTAATAAACTCAAACGCTTCCTCATCATCATCATCCAGGAAGATGAAACCACCAGACAGGAATACTCCCCTTTCACTGGGAAGGAATATCAACTCGCCTTAATCCCCCACGTTAAAGATGGAACTGGCTCAAAGTACACTGCCCACAGCAACTGCAGATGTAATTCTCAGATTACTGAAACAACCTCAGAGCTTGGCAATGGAATAGATT